GGCTGGTGGCTTTAGAGACACTGGTGACCCACACTGCGGTGGTTGTGGCTCAGAGCCCAAGTTCCCACATGCTGCCACCCATGGCTGCTCAGGGACTCCTCCAGGCAAGTAAGTACTGATTTCCATGAGTCTGACCTTGGCTCAGAGAAGGCAGGCCATGGATTTCTAATTATGAATCTTCTACTTCAGTCAGCTTCAATGTATTTGTTGGATTTTATATCTGAGGTTTAGATATACGGAGGTTATACTGAAAACACAAATCTTGAGTATCTGTATTGGAAAAGTCTGGAAACTGGGCCTAGTCTAGGACACCGTGGCTAAGAATGATCACAGTTGTTTGTGCTTCTCTCTTTCAACAAGGGCATCCCCCCTATGCCGTGAGCTGAGCCCTCAGCAGCAGCCAGCCTTAGCAAGTGGCATTAGGCAGCTTCATCTCATGTGCCACAGATTGGGACTATTACCAGCACATTGGTGGTTTTCTGTTTTCTCTTCTTCATATTTATCTATTTTTTTCTTGGCAGGACAACATTGCTGAGAAAGCTTGCTGTGGGGTTCCATGCAAGTGCTCTGGAGAGAGAGGGGACAGAGGGCCCATTGGAAGCATTGGGCCAAAGGTATGGTGGCTGTACTCTTCACACCAGGGCTAGACTGCAGGCTCGGACACTACTGGGCTGTGTGACTTCTCCAATATCATGTATGGACATGAGAGAGGGAGAAGGGTCCCGGGCTGCCAATTCTGTGCTCCCAGGTACTGGTATCCCAATGGTGTGTCTTGCTGGCGATGGAGAAGGCCCAAGCACCAGCCACATTCCCTTTTTCCACTGGGTGGGGGAATCTGCTCTTTGACAACTGAATTTGTCATTTCATAAAACAGTGTGAAAACCCATGCATACCCACTCACAGCCTCACAATGTGGGTCAGTGGGACCCTGAATGTTTGCTTTGATGGAGTGCCACCTGCTCTCTTGGTAAAGAAAGAGACTGAAATATTCCGATGGAAAGAATCAACACTGAATAGACAGTGCACAGCACTCTCAGCTCTGGGCAACGCCTACTGCCCTACTGCCATGCTGAGTGGCAGAACAGCCCTGTCCAGTGAAGAGACTGTTGAGGCACTTTAGGCAGAACATAGGTGACATGGGGACCCATGTGCTTTATTTCAGGGTATCTCTGGGGAAGATGGCTACCGAGGCTACCCTGGCGATGAAGGAGGACCTGTGAGTAAAAGCTCCCATTTCCCTCAAGTTTTTACCGGCTCCCATCATTCCCAACTTGGGAACGGACCGTGGATTTTGTAACCTTTCTGGTGGACAGAGCCTTTCTCCTTATGGAAAAAAATGATTTCCTAACATACGGAACCATTTTCCTTGCGTTTCTGTGCTATGAGCAGTGAGGTTCTAAGGCATGGAGTACAGGTGGAGACTTGAACTGTGCAGGAAGGTTAGACAGAGGCCACCAAGTGTGGTGTGCCCAGTGCCACTTGAACAAAGAGGAGCAGAAACTGTGGTAAGCACCCCTCATCCCAGCTTTTGAGAGACTGAGGCAGAGGGATGATGGGCAGTCTGAGCTATTTTGTAGCAAGGCTTTGGCAAGTCTTTGGGACCCTAGAATAAGACCCATCTCTGGGATATGGATGGAGGGGCTTCTGGGAGAGTAAGAGGCCTCCAGGTATCCAGCCTAGATAAGGGAGTCCCTGTTGCCATGGCACAGCTAGAAACCATGGCAACACAGAGGAATGGTCGGGGGGTGTAGGGGAAGAATGTCTATGGGACCCAGCACCCATACTGGATATCAGGGTCACCAATATTCAACCAGGCAGGCAGTAGCCCCTGGGTGCTGCTACCATCCCAGAGCCTATTTTCCCCCAGAAAGTTGTGGGTTCTTTCTCAGCCAGGAGCTAGGAGACTGAGGATGTTGGCACATACAGCCTGGTTACAGTGAAGCCCTCTCCATGTTGCATGCCATTCTCCGAGACAGAGTCAGAGGGACACCAGACAAGAGACTCCAACTTGCAAAATGCCTTTGTTTTCTTTGCAGGGTGAGCGAGGCCCACCTGGTGTGAATGGGACACAAGGTTTCCAGGGCTGCCCAGGCCAGAGAGGAGTCAAGGTACAGAATGGATTGGGGTGTAGGAAAGTCAGGGGAGTGCATGCAGGGAGGACCTCTCCATGTGCCTTGGGAAGGGAGTTTGTGGGCTGGGCTTTCTCCATTCTCCCTGCCTAGTAGCCAGGGTCTCTTACTGAAGGCAGCTCTGCATTGTGTGGGTCAGGAGT